CGCCCTTCTGTTTAACTTTTATAGACTAATTCAAGGGGGTCAGATTTAGAATAACATGATCAGTTAATAGGTGCACACATTTCGTCATTTTCTCTTTTATAACTATCAAGCATGGGATAATTAAATCATCAGATACCTAGTCCAAACGATTTACATAATTAATTCGTATATAATGTCAATACAATCAATGAATTGAGAGAGAAAGAAAAGACAATTAATTACAAATATGAACTATCACACACCATTCAATACATCGAAGAGCTTCCAAAGCGGATCCTGAAACCGAAATTACGCACTATATTAGCTGCACTTTGGCCGTTTCTATTTTCTAATATCACTTGTTATAGACTTAGAAGTACGTACGGCCACCATGACTTTCCCTCTCGTGGAATTACTGTTGCTTATGATTTGCGCTTTGGCTTTGATCAGTTTCAGTGGTGGTAAGGTGTCAGCTGGTAGTTTGAGTGACGAGGAGATAGAAAGGAAGATTCTCAACAAACCTCCGCTCAAGACATTTCAGGTACTCATGTTATTAAAATTCGTGGATGATCGGTGTTTCTAGGGGGTCTTGGTTTTATAGTAGTTTGTAACCATTCGATCGAGTTGGATTTAGTATTTGTATTTTGAAATCAATTATAAACGCACTCAATATATTCCAAAATTAAGAAAATAATGAGCGCGGAATTATTGTTGCTTAGTTTTTTCTTATACTAAAAACAATCTCTTAATAAAATTACCAAACGAATTTTCAGAAACAATTTCTATCTAAGATTGAAAATGAAAACGGAATTGATACCAAACACGCTCATTATCTTTTTTTTTTTTAGGTTTTCCAAACGCTCCAAATTATGGCTGGAATTACCTCCGTTTTTATAATATTTTTCTTGTATTTCCCAAATTGTCTAACTACTCTTTTTTTTGTTTTGACATGGAGTGAATATATATCCTCCATAGTTTAAACATCCAATTTTAAAAGTTAGAACAATTGATGGAGTATCAGTAACATGAATCATTAATCCTACGGTCTTCTTCCTATTTTATTCAACTAAATATTAAAGTTGTTGCTTAATTTTTTGTAATGCCTCTAACTTGGCCGTTTATTTTTTATTTATTTTACTTTTTTTTAGACAATACCCAGTTCATGTCCTCCAGTCCTAGTGTCGGAATTCGCTTGTTCAGATAACAACGGAACCAGCACCACCTATACCACCGGAAAGTTGTGCCCTACCGGAACAGTCCCGATATACGCCGAACAACAAAGGAAGATTTATTAAGGGCAAGCACGGCTGATGCCGGTGACCATAGTGTATAAATAAACAATCTAAGACAATTACTTATCTTTAATTAGTTGTACCTATTGTATGTGCATTATTTACGATTAATTTTCCGATATGCTTGTTGTTTTTAGTTGGTATTTTTGCTTATGGAGCCAAAATATAAAATGTTTGGAGCGGGTGCGGATATCCAAATGCAGAACTTAACCCTAGCTCAAGATCAGTTCAGCACTGCAAGCATTTGGATTCTAAGTGAGCCTTCTTTTGAAATAAATGTCATCGCGGCTGGCTGGAAGGTAAGGGCGTAGATCTAAAATACAAAACAATCAAAAGTTATACAATATTATTGCTTGGTTCGCAGTTTAAACCACAACTCAAATCTTTTTAAAACTGTAATGTTTTTTTTTTACAAAAATTTAAATTTATGTTCAAGCGTATAAACCAAACAAGTCATAATTTAAAGAGTGAATTGTAACGCGCAAATTATCTAACATAAGTTCTTCTTTCTTTAAGGTATCACCATCACTGTACGGTGACAGCCGTACTCCGTTATTTACATATTGGAGGGTAAGTTAATTTCTAGAAACTACATATTCTAGTTGAAAAATGCAAAAAAAGTATACTATGAAGGTTTTCTTATTTCTAATTTACTTGTACGTACAAACAGGCTGTTCATATATATGAATGAAACTGTAGAATGCTTCAACACTCTTTGCCTAGGTTTTGTGCAAGTAAATAGACAAACAACTCCTTCGACTCTTGTTGGTCCAGCTTCCACATATGGTGGACAGCTCATTGATGAGAAAATCCAAGTCTTTCAGGTAATTCTTTTGGTGCACATATTCATTTTAAAAAGTCATATAAATTGACAAGAATCATATGGTTTTTAGGCATAATTCCTCAGGGAGTGTAGTAAATTAAAGTGCTAGTTCAAGCTGACACTTATGGAAACTTTACCCCGCCGATTTTTGAATATTCCGAATTTTTGTTGCCTTTGGATGTTATTTTGTCCTTTTGAGACATTTTGTTTGTTACTTCGTCTAATATGTTGAGCGGGGACATGGTAGAATGAGATTGCTGCGTAGAATGAGCTTGCTAGCAGGTGTCAGTTTTGTTACATTATATTTGTCTATCCCTTTATTCGAGTTTGTTGAGAAAAAGTTGTTCTACATAAAAAGTGAATAAATATGTGAAGTGATTTATATATATATATATAAGGACTTTAGACTTAATAGGTTAACATTGTGTCAAATTGAATTCCTAAAGTGTGTTGGGCTAGTTTCGAAGACATCTAACATATACATTTATTTTATATTTTCAGGACCGTCAAAGTGGAAATTAGGGGTGGTTGTTCTTGGAACAGAACAGACTACTGGGGTACTGGCCTAAGGAGCCCTTCCCCTATGGGCGATGGCGCCGTACGAGTGGCATGGGGAGGGGTTGTGAAAGCTGGGAAAGATGGGACGAGCCCTCCCATGGGGAATGGCCATTTTTCAGATGGAAACTACAGTCATTCCTCTTTGCTGATGTGCATTATGTTGACCACGAGAACAAAATGGTTCTCCAACCGATGGTGATACAAGGGAGAATGTTGACAAGCCCAATTGTTACGGATTCAAGAATGAGCAACTCAAGTACCAAAATGGTTGGGGTTATAGCTTTACTTTTGGGGGACCGGGGGGTCAATGTGGACATTAATATTTAAAATGTTGCACCACCAAAAATAAGCTTATGAAAGTAGTGTGTTGATTTGCCCAAGTTTAGGTTAGTGTCTTGCTAGTTACTGTTTCTTTTGCCTTCGGTTTGATTTTATTGTTTTGACTCTTTAGTTGTTTTTTCTTTCCTTTTTATCAATAATTTTTGAGTTGGGGGAATGGTAAGCATAAGTTGTTCAGAGATCAACTTAGTTGGAATGTTTTGAGCAACTTTAATATCAATTATCCTCTCTCGTCATTTGTTTAAAAAAAAAATTGCCCAAGTTTAGTATCAAGTATCAATGTTTTGGATTGAAATTATATATATAAACAACGCAGAAACCATTATGTTAGTTATTGAGCAAAAACTACTGCAAGCTTCATTTTTTTTTTCTTTTAGTTTTTCTTTTCTAGCCAATGTTGGCACTACTCAAGTCTCAAACTTGGACAGATCAAAATGAGGCGTAACTCTTGTATACAAATATTATTACGTTCGACATATATTAGTGGAATATTCCATCTCAAATTGTGAGCACACAAGCATAGTGTTTTCGTTTATGTTGTGGGAAAACTTTTATATAATAATCATTATGTGTTTGGTTAGTAGATTCGTGTCATGATCCGAATCATGATTCGTAGTTCGTTATAGTATTTTTTCTCACAAAAAATACACGTAAATTGAAAATAATTTTAAATCATGATTCTAAATCTATGAACCAAACGCCTACATAGATACATTGTTAATGACTAGAATTTTCGCCTCGAATTAAAGAAGTTGAAGTACTATTGCTACAGAAAAAAACAATTAATTTAATCTCATTTATAGCTACGCCGGTTGCTTGGAAGTACCTCTTTTTGGCAGTATAGGCAGGTCACTTGTGATAACTGATAAGTAAAGGACCAGTTTAATAGTTTTGTGCTGACAAAATAATTGTTATCAGTTGTATCAGAGCAAAAAATTATCGCGACTAAAATAAGTAACAAGCATTTCGTAATTTTTGTTAAAAGATTATTATAAATACCAACCATAGAATTTATGCATTCGGCAAACGGAAGACAAATTAAAGTGTAATTTAAACTGTTATGAAAATTTACAATAACTGAACTACACAAATTTCGTTTTTATTTCATAGAAAAATATTTGTATATATTTTTCATAAGAAATTGACAATGTATAACGATATGGTTCATTAAACCTAAATTAATTTTTGTCGAGCTGTTTAACATATCTAGAATTAGTCAAATGACAGCAGTACTTCTTTCATCTCTGCGTGTTTACTAGTTTTTCAGAGTGAGTGGAGTACCATATTGACTGGATCATTAATTCAGGATATACTTTTCTTTCTCCCAAATTATTCATCAAAAACTAAATGTCAATCGTTGGCTGACATTTATAAAACTATATAAGCACAAAAAGATGTTTAAAACAGTATATGTTCAAATTAAATATTAATTTTTTAATGGGGTACTGATTAAGATAGTCCGCAAATCATTGAATAATTCCTAAGTATACAAAGTGTGAAATTGATGAAAGAGGAGAAAAAGATAAGAAAACAAGAAGACGTGCATATGGCCAAGCTAAGCAAATATGTATATCTAATAAACGAATGTCAATAGTATTTACATATTTTTAATCATGCATGACACTTGCTCACATGACTTTCTATAAATATGATCTTAATCACAAAAAAATATGCCACATGTCATCATCTCACAAATTTACAAGATATATACAAATAGATGTAAAGACTTGTTTTATTATGATGTATTGATAATCTTAATTTAGTGCATTATCCAAGAAACCTTCTTTGATAAAGAATATCAATTATCATCACTAACTAGAATGATTATATTTTTGTCATACCAAATATTAAAAGTCGTGGTTAGACATGATCACCTCATATTCCTTCCTAGGTATATAATATAATTGTCAACGTTTTATTTTATTTTATTTTTTCTTACTGACCCTCTATAAAGAGAGGGTGCATGATGATAGAAAGTGCGTGTGGTATTTGAAGGAACATTCATCATCATGGCTTCAAGCGTGATCATTTCAGTCCTCCTCATGCTCTCTATGTCTTCTTGCTGCAATATTTGTGTATTTGGTTTGATGAATGTCTCTGTGGATGAGGAATTGGAGTTAGAGAGGCAACTAAAAATTCTCAACAAGCGACCGATCAAGACAATAATTCAGGTATTATGTTTTCAATTGATTACTTGTTTAATAGCATTCCTTAACTCTATTAAAACTGAACCACTTCCTTAATTCCATACCATCATTCTGTTTTAATAGTAAGTTATTTTTTATTTTAGTCCCAACCATAGATTCTTATAGTAACTGACTATTTCTTTAGGTAAATATGTACTTTTTTACCTCTTAAGTCCTTTTTCATTGGGTTTTAGTAAGGAGGTTTTTAACGATGCATACAATTGAAGTTGGCATAAGTCAATTTTGATTTAGTTCTTTTGGATTAAATTCCGGCTCATAGGCTTTTCTGTTTTCTTTCGGGATTTTTTGTTTGATTCCAGAGTGTTGTGGTTTTAATTTTTTTCATGCTTGTCCAAAATTTGTTTTCTTTGCTTCTATAAATAAAACTGATAATGAGTTTTGGTGTTTAATAGCTTCTTTGGTAAGTACCAACTTTTGTCACGGAAATTTGATGTTATTTCCTTTCATCATTTATCCATATATGTGTTTCATAACCCCTAACATTTTTTTTTTTTTTTTGGTAATTAATAAAGAATTTTATTGTAAAGGGAATATAGAGAAGGAATGATAAAAGCAATGAATAGAAAAATGAATTTATTCACTCTTTTTCATTGTCCAGCAAGATGTATGGACATGTATATTTATACAATAAAAGGCAACGGTAATATGCTAAATAACTCCTAGAAAATGATTTTTATTTAATAGGTAATCCTTTTGAAATGGCATAACAAATTGTCATGTTTGTTTCCAACGGCTTTGCATATATCATGGGATTTTTTGTCCGTTTGGAGTAGTAATCTAGTTGCTCCTTTTTCATATTGTCATTACCTCCATTAGTACTAGAATCTTTGTTATTTTTGGCAAGTGAGTCATCATTGACTTTATCAGGCCCCCTCAAGCTGGGAAGTGGAAAGGGATGAACTCCCAGCTTGATTCGAAAAGTTTTGAAAGATGATTTGGGAAGAGTTTTGGTTAAGACATCAGCAATTTGCAATGGCGAAGGGACATATTTGGTGACTAGATCGCCAAGCGTAACTTTTTCTCGAACAAAATGGTAATCCAGTCCAATGTGCTTGGTCCGAGCGTGAAAAACATGATTCTTTATCATGTGAAGAGCACTGATATTATCGCAGAAGAGCCGGGGTGGTTGAACGAGGTGAATCCCCAGATCGCATAATAGATACCCGATCCATGTCAATTCAGCAGTAGTGGCAGCAAGTGCACGGTATTCTGCTTCGGCACTTGAACGAGCAACAGTTGGTTGTTTCTTTGAAGACCATGACACACAATTTGAGCCAAGAAAGATATAGTAGCCGGTGGTGCTTCGACGAGTGAGAGGACAACCTACCCAATTTGCATCACAAAAACCGTTTAAAGTGAGAGAGCTTTGAGATAAAAAGCGAATACCATAAGTTATAGTGCCTTTAAGGTATCGAAGGATCCGTTTGACAGCTCGAAGATTGGCAAGAGTCGGTTGATGAAAATGTTGGCAAACTTTATTTACTGCATGAGTGATATCAGGACGAGTAAAAGTAAGATATTGAAGTGTGCCAACAATGCTTCGAAACTTAGTTTCATTGACCAAGTTGTGATCATCTGGTAGGTTAGGTAGTTTAAGAGCAATTGGAGTCGATTGATGGGAGGATTCAAGCATGTGAGCACGAGAGAGAAGATCTTTGGTGTATTTTGTTTGTGAGAGAAATAGGCCACCAGCAAAAGGCTTGACTTCTATTTCCAAAAAATAGTGCAAGGCACCAAGATCTTTGAGAGAAAATTCGCATCCAAGTTTATGAATAATTTGCTGAATAAGAGTATCATTGCTTCCTGTTATAATAACATCATCAACATAGATAAGTAGTAGCAAAAGATTATTTTTTTTTTCGTAAATAAACAAAGAGGAATCTGCTTTGCTGCAAGAAAAACCAAGGGTAAAAAGACAATGGGATAAACACTCAAACCAAGCGCTAGATGCTTGTTTTAAACCGTAAAGGGATTTATTTAATAAGCAAACATGATTGGAAAAAATTGGATTAACAAACCCTGGTGGTTGTTCCATGTACACAGTTTCTTTGAGAAAACCATGTAAGAAAGCATTTTTAACGTCAAGTTGTTTGATTGTCCAACACGAGACAACTGCTAGAGAAAGGATTATTCAAATGGTTGCGGGTTTGATCACAGGGCTAAAAGTTTCGTCATAGTCTAGCCCGGGAACTTGAGTGAAACCTCTTGCAACAAGTCATGCCTTGTACCGATCAATCGAGCCATGTTCCTTGTATTTAATGCAGTAGACCCATTTAGAACCAATGATATTGGTGTTGGAAGGTCGAGGAACAAGATGCCAAGTGTTGTTTGAGTAAAGAGCCGTAAGCTCTTCTTGCATCACAGTAAACCAATGAGGTGATTTAAGAGTAGTTTTAAAGAAACATTACCAGTATGTGAGATAGATAATTTGTTTCCATTACCTACATAAATAGCATCATGTAAGCATGTACTGAAGAGAGCTTACCGACATCATTTTTCATATGTGTTGTTGCTCCAGAATCCGCATAGAAAAGTGGGTCAGTTTCTTGTAGAGATAGAGCCGCAAAATTTTCAGGCATCCCATCTTCTTGATGAGCATAGTCATATCTGTAAAAACATTTAATGGCTGTGTGGTTGGTTCTTCCACATATTTGGCATTTGATTTCTTCCTTTTATTTGTTGGTGTTGCCTTGTCCATTGTCGTTGAAGTTTTTCCAACCATTGTTTGATTTACTATTACCTTGATTTCTTGAGTAGTTTGGAAGGTGATAGAAATTCTTGTTGTTTGATCGATTTATTTGAGTGAACCCTCTTCCTCTAGAATTAAAACGACCCCCTCTGTTGTTTCTTCCTCGCCCTCTTTGTCCAAAGAAGGCTTGCGCATGATCTGCAATTCGCTTTTCTTCTTCATGTTGTTCAGTTATCATTTGCTCTGATTCTGCAAAGAGAGAACAAACTGACTAAAAGAAGGATATGGTGACTTTGAAAGCATTACCATACGAAAATTTTGGTATTTAGGACCAAGCCCGCGTGCTAATTTGAAGACTTTTTCAGTCTCCGGAATTGGCTTGTTGATGGCAGCAAGGTTGTCACATATAACTTTGAATTTTCTAATATATTCTGAAATGGATAAGGATCCTTTCTTCAAGCAAGCCAAGGAATCCTTCAAATTCTCTTTGTGTTCTATGGTATTGGGAAGTAAGTGCTCTTCCAAACTGCTCCATATTTGCTTTGATGTTTCACTCCCTATGATCATGCTGAGTATGTCTTCGGTCATGATGCCTAGAAGCCATGAAACAAGTAATCCATCATTGTGGAGCCATTGTATGTATTCTGAATTTGAAACTTTCTTTCCATCATCTCTGATGATTTCTTTGGCTGGTTCATCATTTGTAAGATGGTGGGCTATCTCAAGACTTTTAATCAAGGGCAAGACCTGTGATTTCCAAACGAGAAAGTTAGAGGAACTTAATTTGACAGAAACAAGACTAGCACATTGATGAAAGATTTGTATTGTGAGTTTGGGTTCAGCATGGGAATTGATCTCAGAAGTAAGGCTTGCCATTGGCTCTGATACCATAAAGAATTTTATTGTAAAGGGAATATAGAGAAGGAATGAGAAAAAGCAATGAATAGAAAAATGAATTTATTCACTCTTTTTCATTGTCCAGCAAGATGTATGGACATGTATATTTATACAATAAAAGGCAACGGTAATATGCTAAATAACTCCTAGAAAATGATTTTTATTTAATAGGTAATCCTTTTGAAATGGCATAACAAATTGTCATGTTTGTTTCCAACGGCTTTGCATATATCATGGGATTTTTTGTCCATTTGGAGTAGTAATCTGGTTACTCCTTTTTCATATTGTCATTACCTCCATTAGTGCTAGAATCTTTGTTATTTTTGGCAAGTGAGTCATCATTGACTTTATCAATTAATGTCAATAATAGACCGAGGACGGCAATATATTTCATTGTGTTGCCACCACAAAGCAACCGGCACTTGACCATCCGTTACTTAATGATCACAAAGTTCAGGTATATGTTTAGTTTGAACTTTTTCCGTAATTAAGTTTAGATTTTTATCTTTCTTAACATGTATATATTGTTTGAATATTTAATTTACTATTTTCTTGTCTTCAGACGAAACCCACTTCATTTTCCCCAAGAAAATTGGAAAAATCTACTTCAGAGACTAATGAAACATATATTAGAGATACAATGGGAGACAACTGAAGAATGCCCTGTTGGAACAGTTCCTATACAAAGAACAACCAAGGAACATTTAGTTAGGGCAAGATCCCTTCTAGATGATCCTAAGAAGACTGATCTAAGTCGGCAAAGTGTATGCTAAACCAACCTTTCAAAAACTATATATGGTCTTCTTTGATTTTGCTTCTTTTCCCTTAAGTTTTTTTTTTTTTTTTTTTTGGGCTAAGAATTCCAACTAACTCACTTGAGTAATAAATTTCCTACTTGATCTTTAGGCTTTATTTGATAACTGGAAATAGTAAAACTAAGTAAGGAAATGAGATTTTATTTATTTTTAGTTAAAAAAAAAAAGAGGGCACTTGACCTGTGTGTGTATTTGCTTCGAATTTAATTTTTCAAGGAAACGAAAGGAAAGTTATAAAATTATTTCTTCTACGTAAGAATATTTTTGGCCAAGAAGTTGGTATTATCCTATGCTATACATATATGTATGCGAGGGTCATCATGAATATGTATATCTTTCACGTGATCATGAACCTTTATTTAATTAGTTTATGATATTCACAATTCATGAATCTTTTCGTTTGTGATATTTAACTATATATTGTGCGTATTCAGGTGGTTTCCTTGCTACTGAAGCCAAAATTTCGAATATATGGAGCTGGTGGACGTGTCTCTATACAGAGCTTGGTTCTCGCACCAGATCAATTCAGTTCTGCAGACGTTTGGATTCAAAGTGGTCCTTCTTATAGCTTGAATTACATAGCAGCTGGTTGGATGGTAAATATTGATCTAATTGTAAAACTTACTTTAATTTTTACTCATAAATGATTATTATTATTTTAATTTTATGATATTAATCATTCGGCTGTAATAATTAAATTGAGTTGTTGACCAAAAATATATGATAATTAATGAGATTAACACGCCATGTCATCAATTAATGATGATGATATTTTTTAACGATGTTGTCAAGCTATTTCCCATTTTAAGTACGTATGTCGTTGCTAATGGTGTTGTTATTAGAGGTATGAGAGAAAAAATAAAATAAAATAGAAATCCCAGCTTAATTAACGTGGCAAAATTGATATAACTTAGTCAGTGTGTATACAAACTATTTAACATATATACTTGTTATTTTGGCAGGTCTCTCCAAAGCTGTATGGTGATAGTCGCACTCGATTATTTACGTATTGGACAGTAAGTTTAACTTTTCTAACTAGAGTTGAAAAGTTCATACTATTTAATCGGAGTTTCTCATAAAAGATTAGGAAAAAAAATAAACTAACGGTAATTTTCTACTTTTGGCGTTCATCAGATTTATATCAAAAATTATATATTCTACATATCTTTTTAATCTAATATGATTTTAACTAAATTTAACGAATAAAAATTGACTCTAATAATAAAGATACCCTATCAGAGAAAGGCGATCCTTCATTTATCTTTCATTCATGAGTTCTCATTGTTTAATGATATGTATTATCACATGTGCCAACAGGCCGACGGGAACCACAAAACTGGCTGCTACAATACACTTTGTCCAGGTTTTGTGCAAGTTAGTAGAAAAATAACTCGTACTTCTCTTGTAAGCCCGGCTTCCAAATATGGTGGAACCCAATACGACTTGAAAATCCAAGTTTTTCATGTATATGAATTCTATAATCACAGATATACAGATTGTGTTTGGTATATACAACGTAAGCTACTTGGATCATTTTGTTTGAATTGTGGAGACGATTTTGAACCGGCTCAAATAACCAATTTGAGGATTAAATCCCTCCCTCCCTAAATTTAGTCGATCCTGACCCTTTTTGTACAGTAACAATTCTTAAACTTTTTTCAAATTCATCTTTTCAACACAATGGGTGCATTTGGTAATGTTTTCAAAATGGTTTTGTTTGCGGTACGAAAATAAAAATGAGATTGTTTTGAAAATCATACTGGAACCAATTCTAAAATTATGTTTGGTGATCTTTCAAGAGATTGATTTGAGTATGATAAAAAAGTGAAATCGTGTTTGATTACATTTATGTTTGTTTTGAGTACATATAACTAATATATTAAGTAATTAATAATTGATAATTATTTAACAAATAAAAATTAATATATTAATAATATAATAATAATGGATAAATTATCATCAATGAGTACATTAGTAATTAAACTATATATATAATAAATTAATATGCTTAATAATTAAAAATAGTAATTAGTAATTAATCATAAGTAATTACTAAGTTAGTAATGGACTCATATTTATTAGATTATAAGTAATTAATTAGTGTATTAAGAAAAGTAATTAGTATATATATATAATTTATTAATATTCTGTTACTACTTAAATAATTAATTTTTAGTTATATAATTAAATAATTAGTTAATTAATTACTAGTGTTCATTTAATAATCTATTATTTGATATATCACGTGATCATTTTTTGGTAATTATTCTTTTTATAATGATTAATTACTAATTATTAATTATTAATTATTATTGATTAGTATATTATATATTGATAATTATAATTTAATATTAATTGATTAATTGATTAATTACTATTTATTTTTTATTTACCAACTATTTACTGATTAATAGATTATAATTAACATAATATATGATTGATATATTAATTATTAAAATATTTATTTAATAACCTATTATTACTTGGTTTATTGTTAATATGCTATATAATTAAATTTTAACAATTAATCTTTAACTAAATAATTAATTACTATATCATTTAGTAATTATTATATATTTATTAATTATTAAGTATATCTATTTATTAATTATTACTTAATATATAATATAATAAGTAATTAATAATTAATTATTTAATATAAAAGTTTTGATAAGTAGTAGAAAATAAAAACGGAAAAGGGAAAACAACTTTCAATTGTTTATCTGCTTTCTTCAAAAAAATCATTCCCATTGTTTTTTTATTTTCGTTTCCGTTTTCAAAATTTTTATTAAGCAAATGTGATTTGTAGACTGTTTTCATTTTTGCGCCTCAAAAGACATACGCGCGAAAACGTTTTCAAAAACAACTAAAAAATAATTACAAGCGCACTCAATATATCCAAACACAAATTCATACTTTGCATTTTAACTACATATTAAAACATAAGTTCACATCGTAATTTAAACTACATAATTCAGATTTTATGGTTAAAACGAAAAGGGTTCAATACAATTTGAACCTGCGTACTAAATAGATAGTTTTTAGTTTTTCTTTTTCATTTTTCAATCACAGTGGTAAATCCGCATGAGCATAATATTTTACACTATCATGATTAAAGAGCTGATTTTGTGGTAAGCTCCTTTTGTTTATTGATTTATTTATTTTCCTTTTGTGTAGGATCGTAAAACTGGAAATTGGTGGTTTTTCGTGTCCGATCGAAACCAAGATATACCGGTAGGTTATTGGCCTAGAAAGCTAGTAGCATGGGGAGGAATTGCTAAACCTGGGAAAAAAGGGATAAGCCCTCGGATGGGGAATGGTCATTTTCCAGATGGTAACTATCGCCATGCTTGTTACTTTTCACATGTTCACTATGTCAACAACAAAAACAAAATGGTTCCCCCAGGGAATCCTTGTACATTTCAGAATGTTGACAAACCAAAGTGTTACCGGCTCAAGAATGACCTATTGTTGCACCAAAAAGATTTGGGCTATAGCTTTACCTTTGGGGGACCTGGAGGTAAATGCGGGTAATTAAATTATTTGAGAATATGATCATCTTGTTTTATCAAAATAATGCCTTTCAGATGATTTCAGTGGTTAATGCCACGCTTTTATCTATCTATGTACTAAATAAAGGCAAAAATATTCGAGTTGTCAGAATGATATATCATGTTAAAGTTTGTGCAATGTAAGTGAGCAGTTGTTTGTTATGGTTAATATTTCGACATTTCGTATTATAATTAATAAGAAATAATTATTGTTAGCTCATCTCTTAATTGCTTCTTAATTTAAGGGAATATTAGATCAGTTATATTAGCTTTGGCCACAGATTTTAGCTCTCCATTGAGGAATCTTCGGCTTTCAGCACTAGTTTTATAGTTTTGTTGGAATCAGATTAGAGCTAGATATATATAAGAGAGCAAATACAAAGGCACAATCTCAAAACATAAGCGACCAATCCTAATCGGAGAATAGGTTATTTCTATAACAACCAAATACTAGAAAATGAAACGTACAAGATTCAAGAACTTAAGCTCCTGCGCATGCTGTGCAAATTAACACAACACCGCAGTGCCGTTTTATCCCTAGCAGCTAAAGCTTCAGGAAATGCCATGCATCAATTAATGCGGCTACAAAAAACAAATTGTTCTTTCCATGTAGCGTTGTGATAGATTTTAAAAAGCAGAAATTCTATTGGTACACATTCGCTTTATTCATTGCATTTTTTTTTTTTTGGTATGACTTATTCATTGCATTATATAAATACTCTCTTAAAATAAAAAGGAGTGAAGAGTTAAAGTTTTTTAAATTGTTAATTATCTGTTTTATTAATTATTCTTGTGAAAATTACTACTTTATTAAAGAGATAAGAGTTATATTCGCAAAAGCTTTTTGCTAGACTTGAATGTATTTTGTGTAATATACAATATTTATTGTTTAAGAAATATACAATATTTGTTATTTTTTCCTTTCTCTTGATAAATATATATTTGTGTGCAGTGTAAGCTAAATTTCCACTACATGGGACGGGAATAGATTAAAATTACATTTGGAAGAAGTCCCGTACCAAATAATGTGCTAGGAAAAAAAAAAGATCACTTGTGTCTTCGCGAATTCAAGTATCGATGTAATTCTATAAAAAAAGAGGTGCCTTTAAGGACCAACTTTTGCTTTGTTATAATTTTTATTGTGTTTCTGTTTCCTCCTAAGTTCCTTGATTTCAATAGAGATGACATGTAGGATCTTTCAAATCCTTGTTCCACATTCCAGGAATCATCACACTAAATTACTAAGAAAATAAGTTAGAACTCTGACATGTTTCCATTGATACAGCCTTTAGATCTCCGGTAGAATTCTCTAAGACAACGAGCACGACGGTTATTGCCTTCCTCAGTCAAATCTCCTTAGTTCCTTAATGGGGTGTTTTCTCTCTAGATGGGCAAGAATGAAAACTGCTTTATGATTTGACGTATTGGGGACCATAATCTAAGTTTATTTATATACTGCCCCATTAGGCTCCCATTAAACCTAATTGGGTCAATATGGGTATCCACACATTCAGCCCATACCCTGTTAGGAGACTAGTTGGGCTTTCCATAATTAGATTACTTAAATTAGCCCAAATAACTAAATAGCTTAATATAATTATTGAATAAATATGTGGCCCACAATATAGGAAACTCACGTTTCCTAACAATCTCCCACTTGGGCTACATATGATTCCTGAAATAATTATATCATACATAATTCCTTAGGCGCGAAATTGTATGCTATTTATGTAACACCCTGAAGAATTAATTGAGATTAATTAAGGTAATTGAGATTATTAGTGTGCCTAATCTGATTTAATTAATTGAATTTAAATAACTCCAATGTATTTAAATTATTCACAGTAATTTATTTAATCTAGAAGTGTGTATGGGCACATTTCTGGACTGTTATATTTTACACATGTCACTTTCTTTTATTTTTCTTTTCTTTTCTTTTCTTTTTCTTTTTCTTTTTCCTTTCTTTTCCTTCCTTTTCTTTTTCTTTCCCGTGCGTTTCTCTCTCTCTTTCTCTCTCTCTCTCTCACACTTCCGTGCTCTCTCTCCCTCTCTCTCTCCCATTTGTGTCTCAAATCAAAACCGGATTCGAACCAAGAATGATTTCAAAGAGTTTTCAACGTCAAGAGAAGGATTCGAGGTAAGATTACTGAAAGAACCTCTCTTGAATCTATGTTTTTCGGATTTCAAAACTTATTTTTGGTTCAAAACGGATTTTGATGATTTTGAGTAAAACT